CAAAATATTGATCGGCCATTATTAATACCCATTTTCAGAAAAAAACAATATTCCCATTCTCTCTCCTTCTTTTTCTTACTCTTTCCTCCTCTCCTTCAGTCCTTTTTTTCTCTTTCTTTTCTTCTTTCCTTTCTAAATTTAAAAAAAAGAAAACAAAAAAAAGAGAATGTTCATCTCTTTATAGATTCTACAAAAACAGGGTTTCCTACCTGCTGAACCAAAACAAAGCTTCAAACATTTGGGCTGAATCCACATATCACAAAGCATTTTCACAGATAGCTTGTTTCCAGTTTTCATCATCAGATATTTTGTTTTTTACCACAGGCCTCAGTGGGCTTTGAAATATTTCTTCTTAGATTATATAGAAACAGTTTTTCCAACCTGGTGAATCAAAACAATTCTTGAACTCTGTGAACTGGAGGCACACATGGCAAAACATTTCTAAAGATAGCTTGTTTATAGTTTTCATCATGGGATTTATAGGCCTCAACTGGCTCTGAAATATCCCACCCTAGAATCTCCAAAAAAGTGTTTTCAAACTGCTGAACCAAAATAAAGGTTCGAATATTTGAGGTGAATGCACACGTTGCAGAGCATATTCACAGATAGTTGATTCTAGTTTTTGTCATGGGATATTCAGTTTTTTACCATTGGCCTTGATAGACTCTATAATGTCTTTTTCATGATTCCACATAGATTTTCCAACATGCTAAATGAATACAAAGGTTAAATTCTGTAACATTAATTCACACATTGTAAAGCATTTTCATAGATACCTTATTTCTGATTTTTAATACTCAATATTAGATTTTTCATAATAGGCTTCAATGAGTTTTGAAATATTTTCCTAGATTCTTCAAAGAAAAGTGTTCTGAACTTGCTGAATCAAAACGAAAGCTCAACTCTGTGAGATCAATCCACATATCAAAAAGAATTTTCACAGATATCTTGCTTCTAATATTTATCACAGGATATTTGGCTTTTCACATATACTCCTCACTGAGCTTTCAAATGTTCTTTTCTAGATTCTACAAAAAAGAGTGCTTTCAACATGCTAAATAAAAACAAACAATCACCACTGTGAACTTAATCCACACATGGTGAAGCATTTTCCCAGATCATTTGTTTCTAGTTTGTATCATGGGATATTCTATTTTTGACTGTAGGCCTCTAAAGGATCTGAAATGTCCCTTTTTAGATTCTTTGAAAAGAGTATTTCAGACATTCTTGATGAAAAAAAAACGTTTAACACTGGAAGCTGAATCTGCATGTCACAAAGTATTTTTCACAGATAGCAGCTTTTTAGTTTTCATGGTGCTATATTCGGTTTTCACCATACGTCTCAATGGGATCTGAAATGTTGCTGCTAGATACCACAAGAAAATTCTTTCTAACAAGCTGAATAAAGACAAAGGATTCACTTTGTGTGCTTAATGCAGACATCACAAAGTATTATCACAGATACCTTCTCTCTTGTTTTTAACATGGAATATTCTTTTTTTCACCATAGGCCTCTGTATCTTTTCTTAGATTTCACAAGAAGAGTGTTTGCAACCTACAGAATGAAAACAAAGGTTCGACTGTATGAGCTGAAACCCCAAATCACAAAGCATTTTCACTGTAAATTTTTTTAGTTTTCATTTTGGGATATTTTGTTTTTAACTACTGGACTCAATGGGCTCTGAAATGCTCCCTCCTGAATTTTACAAAGAAAGTGTTTCCTGACTTCCAAATCAAAACACATGTTCAACTCTGTGAGCTGAATCTACACATCACAAAGAATTTTCACAGATATCTTATTTCTAATTTTTACCACAACATATTTGGTTTTTCACCTGTATTCCTCAATGGGCATTCAAATGTCATTTTTCAGATTCTACAAAACAGAGTGCTTTCAACCTGCTGAATAAAAACAAACCTTCACTTCTGTGATCTTAATCCACACATTGCAAAGCGTTTTCCCAGATCGCTTGTTTCTAGTTTTTATCACAGGATGTTCTGCTTTTCACCATAGGCCTCTATGGGCTCTGACATGTCACTTTATAAATTCTCCAAAATGAGTATTTCAGACATTCTGTATAAAAGCAAACGTTTAACACTGTGAGCTGAATCTGTGTGTCATGAAGTGTTTTCCACAGATAGCTTCTTTTTAGTTTGCATTGCAGGGAATTCAGCTTTTCCTCATATGTTTCAATGGGATCTGCAATGTTGTTGCTAGATTCTACAAAAAGAGTGTATCCGACCAGCTGAATAAAAACAAAGTGTCCACTCTGTGAGTTTAATGCACATATCAAAAAGCATTTTCACGGATGTCTTCTCTCTTAATTTTAACGTGGAATATTCGTTTTTTTCAAAAAGGCCTCTCTATTGCTTTTTAGATTTTACAAGAAGAGTTATTGCAACCTCCAAAATCGAAACCAATGTTCGAGTTTATGAGCTGAATCCGCACATCCCAAAGCATTTTAGAGTATTTTATTTTCAGTTTTCTTTGTGGGATATTTGGTTTTTGACCATAGGATTCAATGGGCTCTGAAATGTTTTTTTCTGAGTTTTACAAAAAAAGTATTTCAAGCATTCTGAAATGGAACACATGTTAAATTCTGTGAGCTGAATTCACACAATTCTAAACATTTTAACAGATATATATTTTCTAGTTTTTAATCACAAAATGTTCAGTCTTTCACCGGAAGCCTCAATAAACTTCAAAATATATTATCTTAGATTCTACAAAATTTTCAACCTGCTGAACTGAAACAGAAGTTCAAAACCATAGGCTGACTCTACATGTTGCGAAGCATATCTTCCCTTTATAGATTCTACAAAAAACAGGATTTCCAACCTGCTCAACCAAAACAAAACTTCAAAAATTTGTGCTGATTCCACATATCACAAAGCATTTTCACAGATAGCTTGTTTCCAGTTTTTATCATGGGATATTTGGTTTTTTACCATAGGCCTCAGTGGGCTTTGAAATATTTCTTCTTAGATTATCCAAAAACAGTTTTTCCAACCTGCTGAATCGAAACAATTCTTGATTTCTGTGAACTGGAAGCATACATGGCAAAGCATTAGTAAAAATAGCTTGTTTATAGTTTCCATCATAGGATTCATAGGCTTCAATCGGCTCTGAAATATCTTATCCTAGAATCTCTAAAAATGTGTTTTCAAACTGCTGAATCAAAACAAAGGTTCGAATCCGTGAGCTGAATTCACACATTGCAAAGCATATTCACAGATAATTGTTTCTAGTTTTTATCATGGGATATTCAGTTTTTTACCATAGGCATTAATGGACACTATAATGTCTCCTTCATGATTCCACATAGATTTTCCAACATGTTAAATAAAAACAGAGGTTAAATTCTTTAATATTAATTTACACATTGCAAAGCATTTTCATAGATAGATAATTTCTGATTTGTATTATTCAGTATTAGATTTTTCATGCAGGCTTCAATGAGCTTCAAAATATTTTCCTAGTTTCTACAGAGAAAACTGTTCCCAACTTGCTGAATCAAAATGAAAGTTCAACTCTGTAAGCTGAATCCACACATCAAAAAAATTTTCACAGATATCTTGCTTCTAATTTTTATTGTGGGATATTTGGCTTTTCACCTATAGTTCTCAATAAGCTTTCACACATCCTTTTCTAGATGCTACAAAAATAGTGCTTCCAACCTGCTGAATAAAAACAAACGATCATCTCTGTGAACTTAATCCATACATTGCAAAGCATTTTCCCACATCGTTTGCTTTTAGTTTGTATCACGGGATATTCTGTTTTTCTCTGGAATCCTCTAAAGTCTCTGACATGTCACTTTTTAGATTCTCCAAAAAGAGTATGTCTGACATTCTATAGGAAAACAAACATTTTACACTGTGAGCTGAATTTTCACGTCACAAAGTATTTTTCACAGATAGCTTCTTTTTAGTTTTTATTGTGCTGTATTCAGTTTTTCATCATGCATCTCAATGGGATCTGAAATATTGCTGCTAGATTCTACAAATAGAGTATTTTGGACCAGCTGAACAAAAAGAAAGGATCGGATTTGTGTAGTTAATGCAAACATCACAAAGCATTTTCACAGACACCTTCTCTCTTCTTTTTAACGTGGAATATTCTTTTTTCACCAAAGGCCTCAATATTTCTTCTTAGATCCCACAAGAAGGGTGTTTGCAAACTACAGGATCAAAACAAAGGTTCGACTGTATGAGCTGAATTCCCACATCACAAAGCATTTTTTCAGAGTAATTTTTTTAGTTTTTATTTTGAGATATTTGGTTTTTAACTATAGGACTCAAAGGGGTCTGAAATGCTCCCTCCTGAATTTTACAAAGAAAGTGTTTCCAAACTTCCAAATCAAAACACGTGTTCAAGTCTGTGAGCTGAATCCACACATCAAAAAGCATCTTCACAGTTATCTTGTTTCTAATTTTTATCACAACATATTTGGTTTTTCACCTACAGTCCTCAAGCATCAGTCACCTCGTTTTTTACAATTGTACACACTGATCTGTCTGATATCTTTTCTTTTACATATTCTCTTTTTTTATATACGGGATATCTGGGCTGACCTCAAACTCGTGACCTCAGGTGACCCACTCACCTCGGCCTCCCAAAGTGCTAGGATTGCTGGTGTGAGTCACGTCACCCAGCCCAGTCTCTCTGATTTATTTTAACAATAAAGTCGCCGGCTGGCCGGGCACGGGGGCTCATGTCAGCCTGTCATCAAAACACTTTGAAGACCAAGGCATGCGTATCACCAGAGGTTGGGGGTTCAAGATTGGCCCGACCAACATGGTGAAACCCCATCTTAAAAACGGAAACAAAACTTAGGTTGGGCTTGGTGGCTGACACCTGTAATCAAAGCACTTTGGAACGCCAAGGCAAGCGGATTATGATTTCACAAGTTCGAGACTGGCCTTGAATGACACAGAACAACCCTCTCCCTATAAAAAAACATAAAGACAGAAAAAAAAAGCTAAGTCAAGTATAAGATGTGCTTGCTTCGGCAGCACCTACACTAAAATTGGGACGATACACAGAAGACCAACGTGGCCGCCAGGCAAGAATGACATGCAAAAGTGGCCAGTGTTTAGTATTTTTTTTTTTTTTTGCCATTGTGGCTGCTTTGTAGAAATCAAATACAGACATACTTGAGGTACAAAAAGAAAAAAAAAAACTAGAAAATTGGACGTGGTGGTGTGGACACCTGCAACCCCAGGTACTTGGGAGGCTGCGGCAGGACAATCGCTTGAACCAAGGAGGGAGATGTTGAAATAAGCCAATATCACACTATTGCAATCCAGTCTGGGTGACAGGAGGGAAACAATATGTCATAAAGAAGGTGAGGCGAGTGGTGGAATCATCCGGCACCTCGTTTTTTACAATTGTACACATTGATTTGTCTGATTTCTTTTCTTTTTTTATTTCTGTTTTATTAAATCAGGTGGGATTTCCCTGAGGTGCTCAGACTGACCTCGAACTGGTGACCTCAGGTGACCCGCCCACCTCAGCCTCCCAAATTGCTAGGATTGCTGGCATGAGTCACATCCCCCAGCCCAGTCTCTCTGATTACTTTTTTAGCAATAAATTCTGATGGCCCAGCTTGGTGGCTCATGTGAGCCTGTCATTCAAGCATTTTGAAGACCAAGGAGGGTGGATCACCAGAGGTTGCGGGTTCGAGACCGGCCCGACCAACATGGTGAAACCCAGTTTTTAAATGAAAACAAAACTGAGGTTGGGCTTGGTGGCTCACGCCTGTAATCCCAGCACTTTGGAAGGCTGAGGAGAGCAGATCGTGAGGTCACAGACTGGCCTTGAACAATGCACTGCAACCCACTCCCTATAAAAAACATAAAAACAAAAACTCCACTCCCCACCCTGCCTTTCTTTATAATGTAGTGTTTTCCTCTTGTCACCCAGGCTGGAGTGCAATGGTGCGATCTTGGCTTATTGCAACATCTGCCTCCTCGGTTCAAGTGATTGTCTGGCCGCAACCTCACAAGGAACTGTCATTGCAGGTGTCCACATCACTATGTCCAGCTAACTTTTTTTTTTTGTACGTACCTCAAATGTATCTGTATCTGATTTCTACAAAACAGCCACAATGGCAAAAAAAAAATATGGGATGCTGCACACCTTTGCGTGTCATTCTTGCACAGCGGCCATGCCTGCCTTCTGTATATCATCCCAATTTTAGTGTAGGTGCTGCCGAAGGAAGCATATGCCATGCCCAGCTCAGCTTTATTATTTTTTTTCTGTTTTTATGTTTTTTTATAGGGAGCAGGTTACACTGTGTCGTTCAAGGCCAGTCTCGAAACTGTGACCTCACGATCTGCTCACCTTGGCCTTGCAAAGTGCTGGGATTACAGGCGTGAGTCGGCGAGCCTAACACATGTTTTGTTTTCATTTTAAAGACGGGGTTCACCATGTTGGTCGGACCGGTCTCGAACCCGCAGCCTTGGGTGATCCGCCCACCTTGGTCTTCAAAGCAGACAGGGCCAGGCGCTGTGACTCACGCCATCAATCCTAGCCCTTTGGGAGGCTGAGGTGGGCGGGTCACCTGAGGTCACGAGTTTGAGGTCAGCCTGGGCATCCCGGTGAAAACCAACCTCATTTAAAGAAAGAGAAAAAGAAAAAGAAAAGAAATCAGACAGACCAGTGTGTACAATTGTAAAAACCGAGGTGCTGGGTCACTCTACTCCCCGTTCTGCCTTTCTTTATAATGTAGTGTTTTTTTTCTTATCACCCAGGCTGGAGTGCAACAATGCGATCTTGGTTTATTGCAACATCTGCCTCCTTGGTTCAACCAATTGTCCTGCCGCAACCTCACAAGGAGCTGGGGTTGCTGGTGTTCACACCACCATGTCCAGCTAACTTTCTGTTTGTTGTTGTTGTTGTTTTTTATTTGTACGTCGCTGAAATCTATTTGTATTTGATTTCTACAAAACAGCGGCAACAGCAAAAAAAAAAAATTATGAAATGCTGCACACCTTTGCGTGTCATACTTGCGCAGCCGCCACGCTGGCCTTCTGTGTTTCGTCTCAATTATACTGTAGGCGCTTCCAAAGCAAACGCATGCCATGCCTGGCTCAGAATTTTTATTTTTTCCTGTTTTTATGTTTTTTATGCAGAGCAGGTTGTACTGTGTTGTTCAAGGCCAATCTCGAACATGAGACCTCACGATCCGCTCGCTTTGACATTCCAAAGTGCTGGGATTACTGGCGTGAGCCGCTGACCCCCACCTAAGTTTTGTTTTCATTTTAAAGATGGGGTTTAATCATGTTCGTTGGGCCGGACTCGAACACGCAACCTCGGGCGATCCGCCCACCTTGGTCTTCAAAGCAATTGGATGACAGGCTCACGTGAGACACCGGGTCCCACTGGCAGACTTTATTGTTAAAAAAAAAAATTAGAAAGACTGGGCCTGGCGCTGTGACTCACGCCAGCAATCCTAGCACTTTGGGAGGCCGAGGTGGGTGGGACACCTGAGGTCATGAGTTCAAGGTTAGCCTGGGCATCCTGGTGAAATCCCACCTCATTTAAAAAAAAAGAAAAAGAAGAAGAAAAGAAATGAGACAGATCAGTGTGTACAATTGTCAAATACGAGGTGCCGGATGACTCCACCCCCAACCCTGCCTTTCTTTGTGATGGTTTCCCTCTTGTCACCCAAGCTGGAGTGCAACAGTGTGAACCTGGTTCACTGCAACATCTGACTCCTCGGTTCTAGTGATTGTCATGCTGCAACATCCCAAGTATCCGGGGTTGCAGGTGTCCACAACACCATGTCCAGCTAACTTTCTGGTTTTTTTTCTTTGTACCTCAAATCTATTTGTATTTGATTTTTACAAAACAGCCACAACGGCAAAAAAAAAATACAAAACGCTGCATACCTTTGCCTGTCATCCTTACGTGGTGATCATGCCGGGCTCCTGTTTGCCGTTTCAATTTTAGTGTAGGCGCTGCCAAAGCAAGCATATGCCATGCTTGGCTCAGCTTTTTTATTTTTTCCTGTTTTTATGTTTTTTATGGGGAGTGGGTTGTGCTCTGTCATTCAAGTCCAGTCTCAAACCTGTGACCACAGGATCCAATTGCCTTGGCCTCCCAAAGTTCTGGGATTACTGGCAAGAGCCGCCGAACTTAACCAAAGTTTTGCTTTCATTTTAAAGATGGGGTTTCATCATGTTGGTCTGGCCAGTCTTGAACTTGCAACCTCACGTGATCCACCCTCGTTGTTCTTCAAAGGGCTTGGATGACAGGCTCACGTGAACCCCCATGACTGGCTGGTCGGCTTTATTGTTAAAATAAATCAGAGAGACTGGGCCAGGCGCTGTGACTCACACCAGCAATTTTACCACTTTCGGAGGCCGACGTGGGTAGGTCACCTGAGGTCACCAGTTCGAGGTCAGCTTGGGCATCCTGGTGAAAACCCAGCTCACTTAATAAAAGAGAAAACATAAAAGAAAAGAAATCAGACTGATTAGTATGTAAAATTCTGAACAAGGAGGTGCTGAATGACTCCAACCCCCACACTGGCTTTCTTTATGACATACTATTTCCCTCTTGTCACCCAGGCTAGAGTGCAACTGTGCGATCTTGGCTTATTGGAACATCTGCCTCCTCCATTCAAGTGATTGTCCTGCTGCAGCCTCCCAAATAGCTGGTTTTGGAGGTGTCCACACCACCACGTTTAGCTAACTTTCTGGGTTTTTTGGGGGGGGTTTGTTTGTTTTTTTTTTTTGTACCTCAAATCTATCTGTATTTGATTTCTACAAAACAGCCACAATGGAAAAAAAAGTACAAAGCATTGAACACCTTTGTGTGTCATCCTTGCACGGCAGCTATGCCTGCTATCTGTGTATCATCCCAACTTTAGAGTAGGTGCTGCCAGAGCGAGCACATGTCATGCCCACCTCAGCCTTTGTATTGTTTTTTCTGTTTTTATGTTTTTTATAGGGAGTGGGTTGAGCTGTGCTGTTCGAGGCCAGTCTCGAACCTGTGACTTCACGATCCACTTGCCTAGGCCTTCCAAAGTACTGGGATTAGAGGCGAGAGCCACCGAGCCCAACCTGTTATGTTTTTGCTTTAAAGACGGGTTTTTACCGTGTTGGTCGGGCCGGTCTCGAACCTGCAACCTCGGGTGATCCACCCGCCTTGGTCTTCAAAGCTCTTGGATGACAGGCTTACGTGACCCACCATGCCCAGCTGGCTGAATTTATTGTTATAAAAGAAATCAGAGAGACTAGGCCAGGTGCTGTGATTCACGCCAGCAATCCTAGCACTTTTGGAGGCCAAGGTGGGCGGGTCACCTGAGGTCACGAGTTCGACCAGCCAGGGCATCCTGGTGAAAACCCAGCTCACTCAAAAAAAGAGAAAATGAAAAAGAAAAGAAATCAGACAAATTAGTTTGTACAATTGTAAAAAAACGAGGGGCCGCATGACTCCACCCCCGTGCTGCCTTTCTTTATGACGTACTCTTTCTCTCTTGTCACCCAGGCGGGAGTGCAATGGTGCCATCTTGGCTTATTGCAACATCTGCCTCCTCGGTTCAAGCGATTGTCCTGCCACAGCCTCCCAAGTAGCTGGGGTTGCAGGTGTCCACACCACCATGTTCAGCTAACTTTCTGGGTTTTTTTTTTTTGTTTTTTTTTTTTACACCTCAAGTCTATCTGTATTTGATTTCTACAAACAGCCAGAAGGGCAAAAAAATAATAATAATAATAATAATAAGGAACACTGCACACTGCATGTCATCCTTGCATAGCGGCCGCAACGGCCTTCTACATATTATCCCAATTTTTGTGTAGGTGCTGCCGAAGAAAGCACATGGCATGCCCAGCTCAGATTTTATTTTTTTCTGCTTATATGTTTTTTATAGGGAGCCCAACCCAAATTGTGATTTTGTTTTAAAGAAGGGGCTTCATCGTGTTTGTTGGGCTGGTCTCGAACCTGCAATCTCAGGTGATCTGCCTGCCTTGGTCTTCAAAGTGCTTGGATGACAGACTCACGTGAGCCTCCAGGCCGGCCAGCCGACTTTATTGTTAAAAAAAAAATCAGAGAGACTGGGTCGGCCACTGTGACTCATGCCAGCAAACCTAGCACTTTGTTAGTCTGAGGTGGGCAGGTCACCTGAGGGCACGAGTTCGAGGTCAGCCTGGGCATTCTGGTGAAAATCCACCACCTTTAAAGAAAGAGAAAAAGAAAAAAAAAAGAAATCAGACAGATGGGTGTGTACAGTTGTAAAAAACGAGGTGCCGGTTGACTCCACCCCCGGCCCCACCATTCTTTATGAAGTAGTGTTTCCCTCTTGTCACCCTGCCTGGGGTGCAATGGTGGGATCTTAACTTATTGCCACATGCGCCTCCTCCGTTCAAGCGACTGTCCTGCCGCAGCCCACCAAGTAGCTGGGGTTGCAGAGGTCCACATCACCACGTCCAGCTAACTTTTTTTTTTAACCTCAAATTTATCTGTATTTGATTTCTACAAAACAGCCACAATGGCAAAAAAAAAAAAATACATAACACAGCACACTTCTGCATGTTGTCCTTGCAGGGCATCCATGCCCACCTTCTGTGTATTGTCCCAATTTCAGTGTAGGTGCTGCCGAAGTGAGCACATGCCATGCCCGGCTCAGTTTTTTTTTTATTTTATTTTTTGCTTCTATGTTTTTTATAGGGAGCAGGTTGTGGTGTGCCATTAAAGGCCAGTCTCGAAACTGTGACCACACAATTTGCTCGCCTCGACCTTCCAAAGTGCTAGGAGTACAAGTGTGAGCCACCAAGCCCAATCGACGTTGTGTTTTTGTTTTAAAGACAGGGTTTCACCATGTTGGTTGTGGCAGTCTTGAACCCACACCTCAGGTGCTCCACCCTCCTTGGTCTTCAAAGCACTTGGATGACAGGCTCACGTGACTTTATTGTTTAAAAATAAATCAGAGACTTGGTCAGGTGCTGTGACTCACACCAGCAATCCTAGCACTTTGGGAGGCCGAGGTGGGTGGCTCACCTGAGGTCATGGGAACGTGGTCAGCCTGGGCATCCTGGTGAAAACACACCTCCTTTTAAAAAAGAAAAGAAATTAGACAGATCAGTGTTAACAATTGTAAAAAACGAGGTGTTGGATGACTCCACCCCCAGGCCTGCCATTCTTTATGACCTACTGTTTCCCTCTTGTCACCCAGGCTGGAGTGCAACGGTGGGATCTTGGCTTATGGCAACATGTGCCTCCTCGGTTCAAGCGATTGTCCTGCCACAGTTCCCCAAGTAGCTGGGGTTGCAGGTGTCCACACCCCCGTTTAGGTAACATTTTTTGGGGGGCCTCAAATCTATCTGTATTTGATTTCTACAGAACAGCCGCAATGGCAAAAAAAAAAAAAAAAAAAAAAAAGAAATGCAGAACACTTCACATTTTTGCATGTCGTCCTTGCATGGCAGCCACGCACACCTTCTGTTTATCGTCCCAATTTTATTGTAGGTGCTGCCAAAGCGAGCACAAGCCATGCTCCGCTCAGCCTTTTTATTTTTCTCTGGTTTTCTTTTTTTTATAGGGAGCGGATTGCGCTGTGCATTAAAGACCAGTCTCAAATAGGTGACCTCACGATCCGCTTGCTTCAACCCTCCAAAGTGCTAGGAGTACAGGCATGAGCTGCTGAGCCCAATCTAACTTGTGTTTTTGTTTTAAAGACGGGGTTTACAGTGTTGGTCAGGCTGGTTTTGAACCCGTAAACTCGGGTGATCCTCCCGCCTTGGTCTTCAAAGCGCTTGGATGACAGGCTTATGTGAGCCCCCATGCACGGCCGGCCGAATTTATTGTTAAAAAGAAAGTCAGAGAGACTAGGCCAAGCGCTGTGACTCATGCCAGCAATCCTCGCAGTGTGGGAAGCCAAGGTGGGCAGGTCACCTGAGGTCACAGGTTCGAGGTTAGCCTGGGCATTCTGGTGAAAACCTACTTTCTTTTAAAAAGGAGAAAAAGAAAAAGAAATCAGACAGATCAGTGTGTACAATTGTAAAAAACGAGGTGCCAAATGACTCCACCCACGGCTCCGTCTTTCTTTATATGGTCATGTTTCCCTTTTGTCACCCAGGGTGGAGTGCAATGGTGGAATCTTCATTTACTGCAACATGTGTCCCCTTGGTTCAAGCGATTGTCCTGCTGCAGCTCCCCAAGTAGCTGGGGTTGCAGGTGTCTACACCACCACATCCAGGTAACTTTTTTTTTTTTGGACCTCAAATCTATCTGTATTTGATTTCTACAAAAAAGCCACAACAACAACAATAAGAAAAAAAAGTAACACAGCACACCTCTGCATGTCGTCCTTTCATGGCGTCAATGCCTGCCTTCTGTGTATCATCCCAATTTCAGGGTAGGTGCTGCCAAAGCGAGCACATGCCATGCCTGGCTAATTTTTTTAATTTTTTTCTGCTTTTAAGTTTTTATTTTAACTTTTACAAATTTTATTCCATTATTATCAATGTTTCTGTTTAAATTATATGCAATTATGGTTTAATTCATCTATCTGTATGTGGTTTTACATAATAATAATCAATGTAATACTAACACAAGCTAAAGGAAAGTCTTTAAACTCTTAAAGTCTTATTTCACAAGGACTTTTTTCACATTGATTTTTACACTGATTTTAGTTAAAATAATTTCTTCTTACCTGATTTATTTATTTATTTTTAAAAATTTTTTATTGCACTTTAGGTTTTGGGGTACATGTGCAGAACATGCAAGACAGTTGCATAGGTACACACATGGCAGTGTGTTTTGATCCTTTCTCCCCTTCACCCACATTTGGCATTTCTCCCCAGGCTATTCCTCCCCAGCTTCCACCCCTGCTGGCCCTCCCCTTTTCCCTCCAATAGACCTCAGTGTTTAGTACTCCCCTCCCTGTGTCCATGTGTTCTCATTTTTCATCACCCGTCTGGGTGAGAATATGCAGTATTTCATTTTCTGTTCTTGTGTCAGTTTGCTGAGAATGATGTTCTCCAGATTCATCCATGTCCCTACATGTGACACAAACTCATCATTTCTGATTGCTGCATAATATTCCATGGTGTATATGTGCCACATTTTCCCAGTCCAGTCTATCATCAATGGGCATTTGGGTTGGTTCCAGGTATTTGCTATTGTAAACAGTGCTGCAATGAACATTCGTGTGCATGTGTCCTTATAGTACAATAATTTATAGTCCTCTGGATATATACCCAGTAATGGGATTGCTGGGTCAAATGGAATTTCTATTTCTAAGACCTTGAGGAATCACCACACTGTCTTCCACAATTGTTGAACTAATTTACACTCCCACCAACAGTGTAAAAGTGTTTGTTTTTCTCCACATCCTCTCCAGCATCTGTTGTCTCCAGATTTTTAAATGATCGCCATTCTAACTGGCATGACATGGTATCTCAATGTGGTTTTGATTTGCATCTCTCTAATGACCAGTGATGATGAGCATTTTCTCATATGATTGTTGGCCTCATATATGTCTTCTTTTGTAAGGTGTCTGTTCATATCCTTGGCCCACTTTTGAATGGGCTTGTTTGGTTTTTTCCTGTAAATCTGTTTGAGTTCTTTGTAAATTCTGGATATCAGCCCTTTGTCAGATGGGTAAACTGCAAAAATTTTTCCCATTCTGTTGGTGGCCGATTCACTCTGGTGACTGTTTCTTTTGCCGTGCAGAAGCTGTGGAGTTTGATTAGGTCCCATTTGTCCATTTTGGCTTTTGTTGCCAATGCTGTTGGTGTTTTGGTTATAAAGTCCTTGCCTACTCCTATGTTCTGAATGGTTCTGCCTAGATTTTCTTCTAGGATTTTTATGGGGTCAGGTCTTATGTTTAAGTCTTTAATCCATCTGGAGTTAATTTTAGTGTAAGGTGTCAGGAAGGGGTCTAGTTTCTGCTTTCTGCACATGGCTAGCCAGTTTTCCCAACACCATTTATTAAACAGGGAAATCTTTCCCCATTGCTTGTTTTTGTCAGGTTTATCAAAGATGGTATGGTTGTAGATATGGTGTGTTGCCTCCGATGCCTCTGTTTTGTTCCATTGGTCTATATCTCTGTTTTGGTACCAGTACCATGCTGTTTTGATTACTGTAGCCTTGTAGTATAGTTTGAAATCCGGAAGTGTGATGCCCCCCACTGTGTTCTTTTTGCTTAGAATTGACTTGGCTATGCGGGCTCTCTTTTGGTTCCATATGAAGTTCATGGTGGCTTTTTTCAGTTCTGTGAAGAAAGTCAATGATAGCTTGACGGGGATAGCGTTAATTCTGTAAATTACTTTGGGCAGTATAGCCACTTTCACAATATTAATTCTTCCTAACCATGAACATGGAATGTTTCTCCATCTGTTTGTGTCCTCTCGGATTTTGTTGAGCAGTGGTTTGTAGTTTTCCTTGAGGAGGTCCCTTACATTTCTTGTGAGTTGTATTCCTAGGTATTTTATTCTTTTTGTAGCAATTGTGAATGGCAGTTCGTTTTTGATTTGGCTTTCTTTAAGTCTGTTATTGGTGTAGAGGAATGCTTGTGATTTTTGCCCATTGATTTTATATCCTGAGACTTTGCTGAAGTTGCTTATCAGTTTCAGGAGTTTTTGGGCTGAGGCGATGGTGTCTTCTAGGTACACTATCATGTCGTCTGCAAATAGAGACAATTTGGCTTCCACCTTTCCTATTTGAATACCCTTTATTTCTTTTTCTTATCATTAAAAAATCTGGGGACAATATATGCTGCAGAGGATGTGGAGAAATAGGAACTCTTTTACCCTGTTGATGGCAGTGTAAATTATTTCAACCATTGTGGAAGACAGTATGGTGATTCTTCAAGGCCTTAGAAATAGAAATTCCATTTGACCCAGCAATCCTATTACTGGGTATATATTCAAAAACTATAAATCAATCTACTATAAGGACACATGCTCACGAATGTTCATTGCAGCACTGTTTACAATAGCAAAGACCTGGAACCAACCCAAATGTTCATTGATGATAGACTGGACTGAAAAAATGTGGCACATATACACCATAGAATATTATGCAGCAATCAAAAATGATGAATTTGTGTCGTTTGTAGGGACATGGATGAATCTGGAGAACATCATTCTCAACACACTGACAAAAGAACAGAAAATGAAATACCGCATTTTCTCACTCATAGGTGGGTGATGAACAATGAGAACACATGGACATGGGAAATGGAGTACTACACACTGGGATCTATTGGAGGGAATGGGGGAGGGACAGTGGGGGGGAGCTGGGGAGGGATAGCCTGGGCAGAAATGCCAAATGTGGGTGAAGGAGAGGAAGGCAGCCGAACACACTGCCATGTGTTTACCTATGCAACTATCTTGCAGGTTCTGCACATGTACCCCAAAACCTAAAATGAAATAAAAGAAAGGAATGCTTGCCCCTTTATACATTCTACAAAAGCAGGGTTTCCAACCTGTTGATCCAAAACAAAGCTTCAAAAATTTGGGCTGGATCTACATATCACAAAGCATTTTCACAGATAGCTTGTTTCCAGTTTTTATCATGGGATATTTTCTTTTTCATCATAGACCTCAGTGGGCTTTCAAATATTTCTTCTTAGATTCTATAAAACCAGTTTTCTCAACCTGCTGAATCAAAAGAATGTTTGCACTTTGTGAACTGAAGGCATACATGACAAAATTTGTAAAGATATCTTGTTTATAATTTTCATCATGGGATTAATAGGCCTCAATTGGCTCTGAAATATCCCACCCTAGAATATCTAAATAAGTGTTTTCAAACTGCTGAATTAAAACTAAGGTTTCAATATTTGAGCCGAATCCACACATTGCAAAGCATATTCACATATAGTTGTTTCTAGTTTTTATCACGAAATATGCAGTTTTTTACCATAGGCCTCAATAGACTCTAAAATGTCCCTTTCATGATTCCACATAGATTTTCCAACATGCCAAATGAAAACAAACATTAAATTCTGTAACATTAATTCACACATTGCAAAGCATTTTCATAGATACCTTATTTCTGATTTTTATTATTCAATATTATATTTTTCATGACAGGCTTCAATGAGCTTTGAAATATTTTCCTGGATTCTGCAAGGAAATATTTTACCAACTTGTTGAATCAAAATGAAAATTCAACTCTGTGAGCTCAATCCACACATTAAAAAGCATTTTCACAGATATCTTGCTTCTAATTTTTATCCCAGGGTATTTAGCTTTTCACCTATAGTCCTCAGTGTGCTTTCAAAATTCTTTTTCTAGATTCTACAATAAAGAGTGCTTCAAACCTGCTGAATAAAAAAAAATCACCTCTGTGAACCTCATCCACACATTGCAAAGCCTTTTCCCATATCGTTTCTTTCTAGTTTGTATCACAGGATATTCTGTTTATGCCATAGGCCTCTAAGGGCTCTGAAATGTCCCTTTTTAGATTCTTTAAAAAGAGTATTTCAGACCTTTTTTATGAAAACCAAAGTTTAACACTGTGAGCTGTATCTGCACG